GCCGGTCTGCTCGGGCTGGTTTTGCTGCAGTAAAGAGGCAGGCAGACCACAGATGGGAAGTTGTTTTTTTCTGTATTTTTCTCGCCAGCAGCAGTTGCTGTAGAGCTCCAGCAGACTTAGCAGCATAAAGAAGGCAACTAGTTCCACCCTTCCTTGTTTACAGGCATCCATCATGTAACTAGTGAATAATTTAAAAGAGCAGAAGGTGGGATGAGCCACAGGATTGACAGATCACTGCTACTGCCTCATTAAGGATGACGGCACATAACAGACTTGTCTAATTAAAGAAAGTCAGGACTCGCACTGGGTGTTAATGCTGCCTGTAGACACACAATTCAGTTCAATACATTTACATTTTACATGTTTTTTTATATTTCTTTCAGGATTTGAGCATGTTAGATGATACTTTTAAAGAAAAATGATTTAACTTAACATACTTGTTGGAGCATTTTTTCTCTTGTTTTTGCTAAATAGCACTTAACACAAAGTAGACTGCAGCTAAAACTGATGAGAATATACGTTTTCAGGTATTGGCTCATACATAAAAGTATCAAATAATGGCACCTAATTAAAATTCAGATAACTGGTCCCACAAAATTCACTTCAATAACTAGACATTTAGATGTTTTTTTACCATTTATTTTAGGATTTCTTCATGCCAGGTGACCTTTTAGAAAAAAATATGTTATCTAACATACTTGATGGAACATTTATTAGTTCCCTTGTTTTAAATCCCTTCCAATTTAACAACTCAGTGCTTTCATTTAATTAAACAGACTTAATGAGGTCTCATTCTGCATCTGAAATCAATAGACTACCCGAGTCACTGGACAGATGGGGAGAGCCGCATCACACTGCAGGTTTCTCCGGGGAAATCCATACGGTATGTGGCTGGTTTGTGGGAATCACTGTTTACCTCAGCTATAGAGTAACATATAATCATCTCAAAATGTGAAAACAATTCCTTAAACTTTGCATAACAGTATCACATCCTCACACAACCTTTACTGCACAAGCCCAAGCAAATGAAAAGTGTCCTGCAGCTGATTTAGCAGCGCAACATTTGTTAATGAAAAGCAATGACAGGGCAGCAGGGAGAGTGCCAGTTTCACCATTACACTTATTAAACCTTCCGGGAATGTTGCCAAAATCTCTGCAGCAAATAGCAGCCAGACTCCCTTCAAGAAGGACACAGCATTTCATTGCGTTACCCTTGACATAACACAGGCAGGCTGTGCTCAGTGCATTACCAACGATTAGACCACCACATGAGTCAGAGATGCTGCATCACTGAAGCATCCTGCCTCTTCATGAACGTTCCATCCCGCTGTGCTCATTAGCTTCCCGCTCAAGGGGGGAGTGGTGATAGAAAAGTTTTGGTGGGATCCAATTCAGCCAGAGGATATTTTGAGATTGCCTTGTGCTGGACTTAATAGCAATAAATGACACAAAAACACAGATAATTCAGGATAGAGAAGATAATATGCGAGCCTGAAGCAACTTTCATAAAGGTGAACCAGGAAGACTAATGAGTTTCAATTATAAAATGTAAACAAAATAGTTAACATAACAAATGACAGTAATAAAGAAATACTAGCTGCTCTGGGGATGCTAACATGCTAATGGCTGCTCTTGCTTAGCATCACAAATTGTCTAACATAACGTTTCTGCCTTCTGGACCTTTGTCAGTAGTGTTAGTAGAATTATCACAATCTTAAATAGATTATAAACTACTCCAACCACTATGTGTGATCAGTGTGGCACAATTATCATATCCCTCAAAAATTAACAGAATAAGACAGGACCAATATTTATCTGTGCCTTGTAGACAAAAAGAAGATCAACAAGTGTATTGTGACAGATCTACTTTTCCCAAGACGCAAAGCATGAATCTGAGATAGTTTGCTGTGCAAAAATCTCCTCTGAAAAACAAGTGTGTTGACAGGATAGCCTTAATTGCTAATTAGCACTAAACACAAAGTAAACTACAGCGGATGGGGAAATCATATTTTTTTCATAAACATACGTATTGGCTGCATACAATGGATGACGATTCAGATGATATCCTGCGGGGAAAATGATCAATGTAAGTGTATAGGATTTTATGACAATCAGTGTACTAGCTGTTAGCTTGCTAGCCAAAAACCAAGTTCGCTAAGTCCATGAACATCTGCGTAATTCATCGAATACTTTAGTCTGGAACTGTGGTGGACAAACCCAGCAACAAATAAACATTGCGGGCACTTGCATATTTCATATATCTGCTCAAATACAACTCCAAAAACAAAAATAAATAAAAAAGAAACCGAATTAATGAAAACCAAAGAAGAAGAAAATCAAAGTCAAGGCAACTGTAATACATGTATACAATTCAAAACAAATGCTGTATATTTCTTGAATAAAAAGCATTACGTTTCCTACATTATATTTCAGTAAAATAAATGATGGTTGTCATTAGAGGTTTGAAACTTTCTCAGTGCAGGACCTAAATTAGACAGAGTCTCTTGCTCCATGACCCTATTGCAGCAAGTCAGCATCCAGGGAGCACCATAACTAGGGCTGAGACCCATTATGGCTCCTAGCCCACAGGTTAAAGCAGAATGACACAAATTGGGCAAGTTTAAGGCTTACAATGGCAGAGATATTGTGTCAAAAGATCGTAAATCAAATGGAAAGTTAACCATGTTGATCCTCCTTTTCTTGTTTTGTAGAGGTAGAATCTTATTAATGTATTTTTAACAAAACTGCTCTTTCAATCTTCCCATTAACACAAGGCCTGTAGATGTCATTGTTCAGATGTAACACTAGAGGGCGCCACACTCAAATGGACTGTAAAGCTGGGTCACTCACCATGCAGCTCACCCTAGCTTTCTCTTTATATATACAGTCTATGCTTTCTCCACAGAACATCTAGGGGTGTACTCCTGAAAAACTTGATTTCTGCAACCAAAATCTAAACATGGTCGTGTGAGGGAGGGACACTTTGTTTTCTGATAAAACACTGATATTCAATTTCTTCCCCATTTTCCTTTGTGATTTCTAAATATATCTTTATGTTTTTCTAAGGGAACATAAAAGCACATTTTACCGGTCGTTCCTCAATTAACCATAGCGAGATGAAGGCTAATTTTGTCAGCCTATGTGTGAACCTGTGTTTCTTTAACCTGGATATCTCTGGCCTCCTGCCCTGCATCACTATGCCAGTAACTCCACGGCCAAATAGCTACAAGATCAGGATTATAGACTGGTATGAATATTATGGAAGTCCTGGCATACTGTGATGCACTCATGGGTCAGTACGAGCCAATTTAATAGAGAGCTGTCTCTAAACCTGGGTGCTGCCAAAGGGGCTACTCATGTTCAGCAGGAAACTGACTGTTACTTTAGGGATGTACTCAATTTTGAGATACAGTAGCTTTCTGCTCTAGAGCTGCCTGTCAGAAGCAGTGTTTAATGCATTTTATATAAAAGTAAACTATGAAAGTATTTATTTGCAACTCTACTAACTTCAAGAGGAGTTTACTTTAAACCCAAGTAAATATCAGTTTATTATTCACTTATTATTGGAGGATGTACTCGTTATAAATATTGTATTGTGTGCATGTGATTTTGCATGTTCAATGGATACATGGATGTCTTCTAGTTTGGTGCCAAATGACATAATTCTTTCTAAGGAATTTTAGGATGAATAGGGAATATATCAGAAATTACATATTATAAAGTGTTATCAAATTCTTGAACTTCAGCTTTAGCTAATTTAAATCAATATAAACCAAAACTACAATAATAATAACATTTATATAAATTAAATGCAAGATTGTAATTTCTTTTAAAGCATTTCATTCATTTATTATTAAAACTATTCATACAGTATGGTATTTAGAATAATTACTGTTATGTTAAGCACAATATCAAGTTGTATTGTTACCCTTTTCATGGAGATTTCTATTTAAAGAACACACTTTATTGAAAAAAAACAAAACCAGAAATAAAATTATTTATTGATATAAACACGTAGATGTTAAATGTAGTTGTTGTACACCTAGTTAGACTGACAAGAAGATCATTTACAGTAGTTACCGTAGACAGTATCGTTGGGGGGAAAGCAGACTGTGGACATGGATGTGGACTTAATAATGTAGAGAACGATGAAGGCATAAAGTGACACAATTGTTCATCATAACACAGGGTAACACTCGGCAAGAGGTCACAGGCAACAACCCTTCAATAGTGTGGTCACCGGCCATATATACATGTTCTTCCAGGAATCCAGCCCCTTCCTGTAAAATAAATTGTTCAAATCAACTGTTGATTACTTGGTGCATATGTATTGCTTGATTTGTATTTCAGCGTATTTCCATAAATGAACTGTAGTTTTAAGGGGCAAGACATTGTTCATGACAGTTCTAGAAAGGCTAAAAGTGTCACACACCTTATGCTGCAAAGGCCTCATTCCTTCTGCTCCTAATTGGGTGTGCAACAGATGAACAAATAACAACAACAGGTGTTAAAAAGGAGTCAACACTGTAACATACATAGACAGCAGAGAATCAGAATCACTTACAAAATAGAAGTAAATGTATTTTTTTATGTTTTAATCACTTTTAAAAATAGCTTTATCCAGCAATTGTTTTATCTTGGATAGTATACAACTACAACAATACACAGAATAAAGGTCCAAAAATGTTTAAACTGTTGGTGTAGAGGGAGTAACCTGCAGATAAACTGCTGTATCTCACTTTCTTAACTGCTGCTGCTGCTGCTGAGTCGAGGAAATGTGACTACAGTGAGCAAACTCGCTGAGTACACGAGGAGCCCTTACAGATTGAATTTATGGGAGCTACCTCTAGGACTCTTTAAGTGGCAGGAGCAACCTTTTCCAAGTTTAGTGCCCTCCATGTATGGAGGGTAAGTCGCGGTGAGAGCAGATGTCACCTCAAGACTCATATAGATCAACCTAACCAAAGCAGTTTAATGTTCTTGGGCTGTTATGGCCTTCAAAGGATTTCACAAATATTCATGCTGTGCAACTGAACATAATATAACTTTAGTAGAAACATATAATACAATAAGAGTTTATTATCATGTATATTTTAAAGGTTGGCCCTTTGATTTGATGATTTCTAACCTGTGAGAATGTGAATGTTTACTTATTGCTTCTCTGCATCTGGAACCGGGATCTCTGTTAAAAAAAGACATTAAATGTTAATACAAATACTGGTAAAGCAAATGCTTCAACTGAAAACATTTATTTTTGCATCCATTATTGGTTAAAAAATGTTGATGTATGTTTTTCTGATGTTGACTTACGTTTGACCTCCAGCTTGCAGCTGACAATGGCCTCTCCGTGAGTGTTCTTGGCTTTGCAGGTGTACACGCCACCGTCATAGTTACCAGGCTTACGGATCTCCAGAGAACAGATACCCTGGACGCAGATCTGCCTATACTTGGGGTCTTCTCCAATAATCATCTGGTTCTTCATCCAAATAACCTTGGGCTGTAGAAAAAAAAACAGACTTATGTGAGCAAAATGTGTTATCATTGCTTCAGTTCACAAATGAACAAGCAGTCATGTCGTTTCTAATTATAGTTGTGCTACATGGCTGGAAAAAAGCATTTTGATTGAAGTGGACACACAGCACACACCCAGTTTGGGAGTTTTAATGGCACTGACATGCTGACGACCGCCTGGGGCCCCATGAGGGAATGTTGACATGTGACCCTGCTGACCTGTCACACACTCCCCCCCTTCTCCTGCTGCTGATCATACTCTTCTCCTGCTTCAGGAGCAATACCTATTCTAGCCTTCTCATCAAGACTCATCTATGCTACCATGTTGTTGTTGAGCAGGTGGGATTAGGAGCCCAAACAGGAAGCGAGAGGCTCAGACAGAAAGGCTAACAAGGCCAGGATCCCACACATTCTCCACTCCAGCACACTGACAGCGAAGGATGAATGAGTGAGGGAAAATCTCAATACGCCCACTCACCACCTACATAATGGTTTTTCAGCTGCTGACAAGTGGCACCGTGGGTGTGAAGGAAACAGTGAGTTCAAGATTGTTCAGAAGTTTGAAGTCACAGCTGGGATAAATCACACATTATAACGTTTTTAGACCACCAGGTATCCAGGCAGTCATTTGTTTTCTATTAATCCCTCCATATAATATAATTAATTACAGAAAGCCTAAGCCCACTTCATTTATATTTGCCAAATTGATTTGGTAACATTGAATTCATAAGCCACGTCTTGGGAATTTTTAAGACAAACAAAGCAAGCAGAGGTAGTATATAGAGAACAATATCAGTTTTTTCAATTTCAAATATAACATTTGTAATAAGGACGTTTCATTAAATAAGTTGATCAGCAGAGTTCAACGGCTAAATGCTGGTGCTATTGTTGTGTAACTGTAGGTTGATAGTGGTCATAAAGAGTGTTACTGTGAACGTACCCTTGGCACCCCCCTGACGGAGCACAGCAGCTTGGTGCTGTAGCCGACGGTGGTGGCTCTGTCGTTCAGAGCCGTGGTGAACTTGGGCGGCTCGGTGAAGTCGCGCTCCTTGTACTCTGGAGGTTTGTAGTCAATACCTGGAGGGAAGGAGGAGAAACAGACATGAAGCATTAAATACACAAGGTCTGCCATTTTTAAACATGCTCATCTCAGGTAACAGTTCTGAGAAATATCCAAGCGTCTTCCCCCCCCCCCCCATTGGTATTTTTTTTTTAAAACGTCGGTAGCATAATTGCAATAGTGTGCGATAAGTCTGTAGAATTACATCCCTGTCAATTATAGATATATTGTTAAATTCTGTTATTATCAATCAAATGTGCATAGGAACCAAGCAACAATGATTTGATTCATGTATTAGAGAATTGACACACAAAAAACTGGAATCTTGTTTGATAATCGATTAATCGTTGTATTCACTTTAAAGAACACAAAATCAATCATTTCCAATATTTTCTGATCCAACCTAAAACAATATTTAAAAAATGTGCCCACATCTGAAACTATTTGGCTGAGTTAAAAGCCTACTAGCTATCAGATGAAGCATGTTAATGCAGCATAAGTGGTCCTAAAACGGTCAAAAACTAAATTGGAAGGCTAGGGTAGTATCAATGACATGATAACTGAAAGTCCCCTATTGGAAATGTCAATGAAAGTGAATAGTAATTTGTGTATCTGCCTTTAATTTAGACCCTCTACAAAATGAGGTTTTTCCCTGGCCTATGCCACACCACATCATCAAGTTTAATACAAATCAGGCCAACCAAACTGAACACACAACTCCTCAACAGTTGGGATGGGTGAATTCCATGAACAATGAAAGAGGAACTTACCAATCTTCACGATTGAGGATTCCTCCTTCGCAACTGTAGCCTCCTCGCTAATTCCACACTTGTTTTCAGAATACACTCTGAACTTGTAGGTGTTGCCCATGATGAGGTCAGAGATGGTGGCATTCAGTCTATGGTAATGATCCACGACAGTGAACCAGTCCTGTGGACACAGCAAGAGGAAGCATTCACTATCAATAATCACCACTTTATAATGACCTTGCACACACACTGCCAGTAAAAGAGAAAAGTGAACGTACTCCGGTCTTTTTGTCAGACTTCTGGACGGTGTAGCCTGTGATGTCTGTGTTTCCTTTGTCTGTGGGTGCGGTCCATTCCAGAGCAACATTGAAGCCCCAGGTATCTGCAACCTTCACACTGGCGGGGGGACCTGGCAGCTCTGGGAACAGCCAAAAAGCACGTTTTTTATATTTAATCTCACAAACTAAAACTGATTGGTAAACACGTGGAAAATGCTCTAAAAACAGACTTATCCGTTATAATTTGCTTAAAGCACTGATATTCATAAGCACTTAAAATCATTTTAATAATAATAACAAATTGTGAAGCATTTTTGAATTACTTATAACAAAGCCTTATAACTGCTTGCCACTTGCCTTCATTTATTGTTTTACAAATAATAGTTGCATTTTAGTAAAATATTTGTATAATGCTTTAAAACCAATATTATAATTAGAATGTGTTACTCTGTTAAAAGAAGTAATGAAATGATTGCAATATAGGCAGAATTCATCATTTTTAAGTTGTTTATAAGTCAATTAAAGAGGTCATTATTATTATTAATTGAAGTAGCAGCAGTTATGATGTATTATGATATTTGCTCACCAACAATCTGCAGGATGAGCTGAGCCTTGTCCTCGAAGTCGTCCACCTTCACACAAATCTCGTACACACCGGAGTCGTCCCTCTCGGACACGCGGATGAACAGGATGCTGTCCCTCTCCGTGCTGCGGATCATCACCCTCTTGGTGTCCAGGGGCAGCCCGTCCTTCGTCCAGGAGACCACGGGTTTGGGTTTGCCCTGGTTCAAAATCACAAAGGTTCAGGTCAGTCATCTGTACCCGTAGGTAGATTAGGTTTGCAATAAAGAGACAAAGTATCTATAGCATCTTTAAACAAGAAGCCCAGGCTGCAGCCCTTTGAAAACCACTACAACTTCAATTCAAAATCTAATAAATACATTAAAAAAGAATAAAATTAGGAGAACTGCTTTAGTTTTATTCACGACGCATTTAAAGGAAAAGCGCACTGATCTTCAGCTTACCGAGAAGGGGATGGTCAGGTTGATCTTCTCTCCAACTTGAGCGACGTATCTCTGCCTGAGGTAGCGCGGCAGGCGGACCTTGGGACGATCTACAAAGAAAAACAATGAATAGTTATTATAGTATCACTGGAGGATCCGTTCAAAAAGACACAATGAGCGTTAGGATCTGTTGAGAGATTTCTGGAGTGAACCAAAAGGACTTATTTTCTTTTGTGACCCACACACCTTAAAGAAATCAATAAACCTACTGAGCCGATCTAAGCCTGTTTTAGCCAGGGACTTTTCACTGGTGCCATCAGTGTGTCTCTGTGCTTTCACTGGTTGTAAAAGTAACCCTTTTTTAAAGTTCTTTATCTCTTAAGCTCTGTATCTGTCCACAGGGTGATGCAAACCTGTCATTTTTTATTCGCATGATAATTTAAAGGTGCGACACAAAATAGAAGACAAGTAAGAATAGATTATATGAAGGTCAATAAAAGGAGAAGCTGCACATAATGTTGAGGACAGGAGTGATGGACAGCGGAATAGTTCACTTTTGTGTATGTGTATGTTTGTATCCTTATGTGCTTTATTTTGTGCTTTTTATACGTTAAGCGTACTCGAGTTATTTTCATGTTGGTTTATATTGCAAAAATTAACAAAATAAATACTCTATTATTTTTAAATGCCTTAATTCTTTTTTTTTGTATTCACTATTCTTCAGTTGTTTTTTCCTTCTCAGTTTAGTGTAATGCAGTGGTTCTCAACTGGTCAGGCCTCCGGACCCACTTTTTCCTTTGACAATAAATCGCGACCCAAAATCTGAACCACTCAAATCTATTCAACAAAAAATCATGCTGTAATATATATACGCTTTTCAGCATACAATATTAATGAAAGTGAAGTACAGTGCATATATCCCTTATATCCCTTCACAGAAGTAAAGAATGCTTTTAAATAAATTTTAATGAGATGATGGAATCAAAGCTGAACTGTATAACATAAAAAGGCACACATGCTGAAAACCCCACCCCAGAAGGGGGGTCTGGGGTGTTTGTCCCCCAGGAGATTTTTAGGAATACTAACATATAAACTACGCATTCTGGTACACTTTGAGAAGAAAATAAATAAATGTATTACTTTGACATATTATACATACATATATCATTACCCGACATATTAATAATATTTAATGCCATTATTTGTTTTTCACTTTGTTCTGACATCTGAACTTGTCTGTGTGAATTGTGGGTAGGGTAGATAGCCCCCATTGTTCTGTGACCTGTCAATCATCAAACCGGGGGTCATATTTCCTTATGTGTTCATTTTTATCTGAAGTTGTACTGATGGATGTATAAAGGACTTCCGGCAACAATCTTGATTCTGATCAAAGGCCAGAAGACTCGAAAAAAAATCAGCAAAGATGTTTTATTGAGAAGATGATCACTACGTGACAGAAGTTTTCAAAACCGGTTATGGTCTCCGATACTTCCAGTCCAACGCATACTGCATGCACAGTGTTAGAAACTCGGTCCTTCAAAATAAAAGTTTGACTTTTTTATTTTTCTTCACTCACACATCTGTGACCCACTCGGAATGGGTCCGCGACACTGGTGTAATGTGTTGTCCTATATGCAAGATAACATGTAGAATTACCAAAAAGTTGATCTAACAAAGTACATTGAAATGTAAGAGGTGTAAATCTTCAGGTTGGGAATTAAAATAATTTCAAATATAAAGATGTAAGATAATATCAAAGATGTGATCTACCCTGGTGGCTCATCTCTATGTATCATCCTGTATTAAGCCCATTAAATCTTCATAAAATGAAAATCAAGAGGATAGTTAGCCAGAGTGACACTTGAAATGATACCAAAGCCCCCCCTGACTCATTTGTAAAAGTGATTTGGTGAGAAGCACCACCTGCTGAGTCCAGCATAGCAACAATTGTCCAGACTCTAAATAAAGAAAGCACACCTCGCCTCATGACGCACCACCGGGTACTTCAGTTACTCATATGAGAATTCATTAAAATCAGAAAATAATTAAGCAGGAAAGCTACTGATGTGTGAACATATCCTGGATCATAAATGATTTGGTTTAAAAAAGTAAAAGAGAGTGATGTGAAGCTAAAATGTTGATGCATATTAGAGCATGTAGTATACGGCATATTAGGAGTCTTATCACTTCATTAAGAGAGGCTTAACCTTAATGAACATTCTCCCTGTAAAGACCGTGGCATGTTGTTAAAATAAACATTGAATCTCTGGAGGTGTCATGAGATTTGGGTGTCACCTGAGAAGTGAGCTCCAAGTGAACCACCCACTGGAATTTAGCATCCCCCCCACCTGCTCGCGTCTCAGATCACTTGTCAGATCTGGCGGTGCAGCCTGACATTCCATCAGAGCCCTAACAGGGATCACAATGCAATGCAAAGCCCTTGTTACACAAACATCTGTGTTAATAAGCAGCGACATCCCAGCTATTCTTTTACAAAGCTTTGAGGTAATTTTGTCAGAAACCTTTCACGAGTGGTTGCAATACGTGGTGGCCCCCCAGTGAACATGGACGTTTGAAATATTGCCAGTCCGGCGGGATCATGTTTCTGTCCCTCCCTGCTCGGCTCTACATTACCCATAAGGATGATTTGGGAGTGGGCCAAACTAAGGCAGCTCGTCTTTTTAAAGCCCCCTGGGTCCCATCATCATTTTGACCACAAATCATTTTAGATATAACATCTATAATTAACACTTTGAAGTGTAGGGCTTTAGTAAAACCTCTCTATTTACAAGTAAGTAGTTATGGTTAGTAGGATCACTGTGTCTAGTCAAAGAGGAAACGTGAGAGAAGGCCACAGTTTTATTCCGTTAACCCTGCAGGTATGTACCAGCAAGACACGCACAGCTGAGAGAACACATAGCTGAGCTGCTTCAGTTTGACTACTGCACTTTACAGCCCCTCCCCCCCTGATAAAATGCTGTTAAGTTCAGAGCAGACCTGGGTCAAATAGTTTGTGTTTTATGCATTTAACTCTACAGAAGTAATAGACTATGCAGCGTGAGAAAGAAAGATTAATCCCATAAGATTACATGGAAATGATCATGTCTCTTAATGTAATAACCCCATTAACATTTTGAATACCCGTTTATTGGACTTCAAAAATAGAACTGTTTGTGATTCGATAGTGTGTAGAAGTTAGGATCCAGACTGATGACGTGCATGAGGCAAACATCTTGAGAGTAACATTTGAAAGAAATTCATAGAGAAATGGCCTAAAAACTACTTTTAAAGTGTTTATATTGCAAGTAAAGTATTTTTATTTTTAAAAAAAAATGTCTTTAAGCTTATTTTTTGATATGATAAATCTGTTCTGATGTGACACTTTAACGTAGGACATGCTTTTGGTCATAAAGAGGTCAATAACAGAGTAAGAAGTCATTGTTTGCACTGAAACATACACTCTGTTAGCACCACATTTTGAGATGTCTTTGTGAACACTTCTTACCAGCGACCTCCTTCACCAGCACGGCCTCTGGGAGGGAGAGGGAGGGGCTGCGGCCGCCGGCGTTCAGGGCCACCACACGGATCTTCAGACGGTCCCCGGTGGTCTGGTTCTTGATAATGTAGCGGCAGGACTTCTGCAGATCCTCATTGACAGCTTTCCAGTCCTCAGCTGAATTAAAGATAACACAAAACAAGCACACACTTACAGAGCTGCTGTATATCTCCTTATTATGGGAATTACACTGTTATCAGAAAGTGTGCGGATTGTTTGAACTGCAGGCAGCTTTGTAATTGATAGAGGGATTGTGCTCGACACAAATGGTCTTATATTATTAGACATGAAATTAGTGTTCTCTGTGTAAACAGAGTGCACAGCTAAATCAAGCTTGCATTGAAGGGCTGCTGATATGAGCCTAGTGCTGTAAGTCTAAAAACAGGAGCCTCAGCAGCTCCTGACATGCCTCCTTCCTTGTATGGAGAAGTTAGGAAGCTCGAGATGTAACTCTGCGACTGATACTTCTGTGACAGCTGCAACCGATACGGCTGGCCCGTTAAAACAGCAATTTAACATGTTCCTCAATGTGTGTTTAAAAAGGACTGAAATAGTATAGATGTAATGGTAGATATTTGTAGGATAATGATTGTAAGGAATAAATAAATTAGCTGTGCATATAAAAGCTTTCTGCAGGATTTAAAAGGTCAGCTGACTGACACTTTTGTCACAGGGTATTAATAATCCGACCCCTTTTGGGCACATGTCACTATTCAGTCAAAAGCATGACTTACTTCCGTCCTTGCAGACTTCAATGGTGTATCCGTCCAGGCCAGAGTTTCCGATCACCTCGGGCTGGCTCCACATGATAGTGACTGTAGTGTCATTCTTGTCCTCAATAAACAGATCCAGAGGGATGCTTGTGGGCTCTGCAAACCAAAAAACAGTCAATTATTCAACTGACATTTGCAGATATGCATAAAATCATTCACAAATCGAAGTTGAGATCCATAAGAGGGGCTCATTCAGTTATTGACTTTCACACTGTGATAAACAAAGAAGATGTGATTGAAGTGGAACCATACCGAGTCTCTTTTCTGTATAGATATTTACCTGGAGGAGGGGGAGGTGTTTCGGGTCTAACCTCTTCTGCAGGCGCTTCAGCAGCTTCAGCTAATATTAGATAGGCATTTGCATTATTATTGGCAGCATGTAATAAGCAGAACTCAGCTTCAGCATTAAATAAAGTCCAGTTATGTTACTCGTAGTTCTCTGCTTTACAATGCTAGCAAACAAATAGAGAAAGAAGCTTTTTCTCTTAGTGAGGAGTGAGTAGGAACATGTTCTGTTTTACCCTCAGCAGGTGCCTCGGCGTCAGCAGCGGGAGCACCTTCTTCTGCGGCAGGAGCGGCAGCAGCTATTATTAAATGTTAGATATTAATACTGAGAGCATTAAGCAGATGGGACATGTTGTAACAGATGATAATGTGTCTGTGCATCAGAGTGTCGTAAAGAAGTCAGTTAGTGCGGTTAGCCTTAACGTAACTCAAGATGTTTGTTGTGCCTCATGTCTTTTTTTTTACCATCAGCAAGGGCCTCAGCAGGGGCGGCGGCTGCCTCTGCAGCGGGCGCGCCAGCTAATATTAGAGGTTAGAGGATATCAGTATTAGATATTAGTGAAGTTAGCTTTACTGTTGGAGGGGGACAGATCAGGATTCATAAACTTATATAAAAGATGTCGGCTGTTTCACTCTTTTCTTTACCATCGGCGGGGGCCTGAGGGGCGGCTGCTGCTTCGTCTGTAGCGGGTGCAATAGCTGATAGTACAGGTTAGAGGAGCATTAGTTATTAGTTTCATTGTTGGAGGTTCAAGGTTAAATACCTATATCTGTGTTATTAAACTGCTTTTACCCTCAACCGGGGCCTCGGCGGCAGCAGCTGGAGCTTCTTCTGCGGCGGGCGCAGCGGTTGATATCAAACGTTAGAAGATATCGGTGTTAGATATTAGTGTACTTCACCGCTACTGTAGGAGCTTCATGGCTTAATACATATAAGATCTGCGTTAATACACTGATCTTATATAGTGTGCTTTACCATCAGCAGGGGCCACAGCAGCTGCTGGTGCTTTATTAAAGTTATTAAAGGTTATTAAAGGTTAGAGGTGCATTAGTTATTAGTGAAGTTAGGTTAAACTTTTAATACTTATTTAAGATATGTGTTAATAAACTTTTACACTCAGCGGCGGCTGGTTCTTCTGTAGCAGGTGTTGCAGAGGTTAGCAGATATTAGCATTAGACATTAGTGAAGTTAGCTTTTTATAAATATGCATTATAGTTGTTAATACACTGATTTTCTATCAGCAAGGGCTGTTTCCTAAAGCGGAAGCAGCAGCTGGTATTAGAGGTTAGAATTCATAAACATTCAATATAAGTACAGTTAGATTTTACTCCTAGAGATTCAAGTTTGAATACTTTTATAAGATCTGTGTTAATTCACTGATTTTACCCTCAGCAGGGGCCTCAGCGGGGGCTGCGGGCAGTTCTTATGCAGCGGGCGGAGCAGCTGATATTAGAGGTTAGGAGATATTAGAATTAGACATTATTGAACTTAGCTTTACCACAAGGGGTTTACATTTCATAATAATGCATTATATTTGTTAATACACTGATTTTCTATCAGCAAGGGCCGTTTCCTAAAGTGCAAGCAGCAGCTGGTATTAAAGGTTAGAATAAACAAGTATTCAATATTAGTACAGTTAGATTTTCCTGCTGGAGATTCAAGTTGTAACACCTTTATAACATCTGTGTTAATTCACTGATTTTACAATCAGCAGGGGCCTCAGCGGGGGCAGCGGCTGGTTCTTCTGCAGCGGGCGGAGCAGCTGATATTAGGGGTTAGAGGATATCAGTAGACATATAACGTTTTGAAAATATGAAAGGACATTTTCAAAATGTTATGAAAGAGGTTATATCTATGAAAATAAAAAGGAGTTAAAACAAGCAGAGATTGTTGGTGGTTACCATCAGAGGCTGGTTGATCAGCAGCAACAGGAGCTCATGGGTGAGAGCAGCACATATTAGAGGTTACATTTGAGAAACAGTAGTCACTTTTCTTTAATGTGAGGTGTTGATAATATGCATTATACATCAGTTCTGGAAAGGGAGCACAGCAACCAGTGCCTCCACCTTGACCACTCTTTTCTTTAATTTGGAATGTATGTATGTTTGTTTGGCATCAAGATGGAGCTTTCACTGAGGTATATCACCGCACATTGGCAACAAACTCCCAAGTTAATACAAGTTGACATTGGTTTTGCAAAAGTAGAGCAAAGCGCACCTTGAGCGCAAAAATCGTACGATTTTCAGTAACTTGAGAAAAAGTGATGTGAAGCAGGCGGATTATGCAGTTAACCATGCTTTTCCCTTTAATGTCGATGGCTACGACTCCTTACCCTGCCATGATAGAACTTTACACTTACTGAGCACAAACGCGTGTGCTCAAAGATAACTGCGTGCTTACCGTGAGGTGAACCGAATACCTTGGCTTTATTTGAAACTTTAAACAACTAGTGCAGAGTTTTATCCACTGTAAAGGTAAATAGTAATTGAATGTATTAATTGTAAGTCATGGCTCACGCGCTTCGCTCGGTGCATTACCTTCTGCCGGTGGAGGGGTGGGGGGTTTGGGCTCCTCAGCGGCGGCCTCAGCAGGTGCAGCCTCACCCTCAGCGGGGGCCGGGGCGGCTTCGGCTGGTGCTGCTTCTGCCGGGGCGGCCTCGGCGGCAGCGGGCTCCGCCGCCTCCTCCTTCTTGGCTGGCTTCGCCGCCTTCTTGATGGGGGCAGGCTTGGACGGCATTGTGGCGTTTGCGGCTAATTCCCAACTCCGTTAAGTCCTCCAAACTGGATCCAATGCCGACATTTGTGCAAAGGTGGCGGGCTTATAAAGGACCCGGCAGGTCGAAGCCCCGCCCACTATGAATTACATGTAACAGATACTGAGTGTGAGTCAGACCCCCCTGACTGTTTGTCTCTCTCATTAACGCTCACTGTGCTGAGCTAACTGTTGGCCTACTTAAAAGGAAACATATACGAAAACATAAACACAATTAAAGAAATATACGGATCACTCAAACATGAATTACTGAATTGCATCGTGCTTTTCCGTGGCATTTATAATCATGATGTATCTGGTATAATGCTTATGATTACTAAAAACAAATTAGTTATATTATACAAATATTAAAAAATGTATTGTTTTTTTTTTTACTTTTATAACAATCGTACAGTATAGTGCCTTCATCATCTCTAAAGTAAATACAATATTATTTGTATATCTCCCATTACCAAGTTAATACTGTCAAACTGACACACAGGAAGCAACAGGTAAATATAACATGTATTTTATTGACTCCAACGACCAGTGATAGGTGGATGAAAGCCTTCAGAAACATGCCTTATTCATGTTTTGGACCCACTCTGAAGAAATAAACATTTTTTCTCAAGGATGATTTTTTGTTTGTTCCCCCTCCTCAATGATTGTTGCCGCATCCAGAATGCTGCCCTATTTACAATCTTTACAATGATGCCCTGTACAAAATAGAGAAATTAAGTTTTACAAAGGATTCTTTAGAAAAAGAAGGAAAGAAATATCAAATATTTTGAGTATTACAAAGGAAAACATTATCTAGCATGAATTTCCTAAACAATAGCCTACATTATTGTTAACTTTTTTTTCTCATCACACAGCAAGTTTACATGCATTTACAACACTTAGGAACCCTTGACATTTCCACGTCATTGACATTAGATACTGCATACATTTTTTTTTTTTCATCTTAGTCCACAACAAGCTTTTGCAAAAATATGACTATTCAGCAACCTGTATTGGCCTTCTGATCTGATTCTACATAAAATTAACTATTCAAACAGTGAAGTGCTGATTTCAGTCTCATCATTCGATTTTTAAACCTTTTTGTTAAATTGTTTATCGTCATTTGACCATTTATAAGTCCAGTTATGACACTTTTGTTGCCATTCATCAAGGACAAAACACACATCACAGCTTCCAAACTGCTTAATTTCTTTACCTACGTACATCTACCCTGTTTTCAATGCAACGCCAAACCATCGTCCTCTCTTTAAGGCTCCTGCTTAATACAAGCTTTCACTTTTGTCCTGTGTTGCAATTTGGTCCAAATGAAAACTCAAAGACAGACCTGAAGTTGCTGCATAGTCCTGATACACTAGTAAGCGAACACAATTAACAGCTACTACAGAGCAACAGGCACAACAACAAGTGAATGAGATGAGAAGCTCGAGCTGATGGCTTTAGGAACCTGCAGAAACAGACCAGGGCTGGTTATGTCTAACACCTGAAATATTTACAGTAACTGACATTAGTCCCATGTGACCAGTTTGAGGATCACTGTCCATTTGGCATCTTTTCGCTCCTTGTCCTTAATTCATTCATTTCTTTTGAGACCAATCAGAGGTGCAGATTAGCTTGAAGTTTTGTTATCAGCCTAACTGTGCAAGAATAAAGCAGCTCAGATAGCATTTAAAACGTTTAACTTTCTTATTGAGCTGTCATAAAAGTGGTCTGACATTCATTTACAGGATTTATGTACATGTGAAGTTAAGTCTGAGCACCTGAAATGAACAGGTGAAATGTTTTGACAACACTTGCACAACTACTGTCTGCCATTACTCCATTAGGGCTTATCTTTTACATACACAATCTACACAAAGTACCTTAAAAAGTGTTAAAATCTTTTCCTTTTGGCCTTGGAACAACTACTCTCCAGTTTCACTTTGACACCAACATGGATGTACCATACAATGTCACACATGACTTGCCTATCTCTACTTAATGTCTTCAACATATCCAAATTATCTTCAAGGTCTTTTTCACATGACCTAAGTGTTTGAAAGTTCTACTGTAGGACACACAACACTTGTTTAACCTACCCTGAAAAGTCTATGTGATCTTTATTCAACACTAAAGCAATTTGGGACGTTGTTCAAGAGCACCATAACTTAATGATGATAATGACATTAAATCTGAAAATGGGCCTAGGTAGCTTTAAAGTCACTCTACTCAGACATGGTGTTGCAGTGGAGCTTTGTGATAAGGCTTCTTTTAAAAGCACCTAAAAGATGATTGATGATGTTCAATTTGTATACGTGTTTTCTCTACATTCAGAGTTGAACTTAAACCACTACCATGGCAGTCGAGAAGCATGATTAAAGAACAGTATTTGGTTCAGTATATAAGATATTTGCACCAACTAATATAGATGAAATAGCTGTGATGTAGCCTGATTGTATTTACATCATATATACACTAGCTACTCTGAATATGGGGGAAAAGATTTGAAACAAATGTACTCTTTCCTATAAAATAAATCTGGTTTAGATTCAAATAGTTTAATCTGCTTAATCAAAGAGTGTGTGTTGTGTTATCCCTGTGTAATAAGTATCTAATACCTGATATACATGGCAACATTGGTGACACTTCATAAAGCTAAATTAAGTGCTTGAAAAATATAGTATGGTACTGCGCAGCGACAAAACTCACATCACTAATAAATAGGTTTTTTTTAAGCAAAAAAGAGTATGACAGCAAATATATATAAAAAAAAAGTTAAAGCCATTTAACTGATAAAGAGGATGTTAAACTACGTGAAAAAAGTATACTAATAATTGATCCTATAATGTCTAAAAAAGGATGAAGTTGAGGAAATAACTGATTCCTGACCTTTTTAGCTGGGATGATATCTTATAAAAGCACCGGTATCCTCTGCTGAAATTGAGGTGACGTCTTTGTTGTTAAGGCATTTTAACCGATTCACCTGCTCTGGTTGCTAAGTTAACATTGCATATGTATACGATTTTGGCCTTCAAAGACACATACAGTAGATATGTACCAAATAACTGTGCAATAAATAGTAGCATCTGTCATGCTGTCATACTCTTTTCCAAAATGAGTCACCATGATTGAGGATATCTCCTGTTGACAAACACCACACATCCCATGATGCATGTATGCTGTTGCAGAAATCACCTGAACTCTAAACACTGAGACAATTAGTGATCTATTAGCACCTAAGGGTAATGAGTGCTAATGTGTTGGTACTAAAGTGAATGTCATCCAGTCAACTATACACTAAAGGAATACTATATAGTGTTTCATTCAATACGTATGAACAGTCGTTTGAAAATACTGTATGTAATAAAAGGATTTGGAATTTTGCAGTTATACTTTCAACCTACTGTGGGAATGATTTTTCTGTGGGATTGTTTGTTCCTGAACGTGCACTGCATCACAGTGGACACAACAACAAAAAAACCTGTACATTTGAAGTGCTGAGTGAAAACTTTGTGTTCAAAGTTTAGGCAGACTAGGGTCTTCTTTGTCTGGGGACTCAATGTAATTGGCGGCCTCTTGAAGTTTCAAAAGCATTGCCATCTATAACAAAAAAGAGAGGGTGAAGAAATCAGTAATACTTAAGGATTCATTGCAGTGGTGTTGATGCAGGGCTGTACCATTGTCTCCATTTTTACATTTCGAGTTATAATTGAGGTTTATCCATGGAAGATTTGTCGTTTCTTTGTTATAACACTAAAATACAAAACAAATTAACAAACAAAACCTTCTATCTGAAAAAAATGATTAATCCCATTAGATTAGATGTAGTAAATTACATTTTCTTCCTCCCTTAATGTGCGGCAAGCCAGAGATGGAACAGTTTTTGACCCCATGGAAAATATTATTTTCAAGGCTCAACACCAATTCATATGACAGTAGGTTGAACAAATACAACTATTCTAATAACATCAGTGTATTCTAATCTTTATCAGCATGTGTGCAGAAATACAGAGTGTGAACAGAATCAAAGTTTTAAAAAGAAGCGCAGTTTTTAAATGTTGGTTTGGAATTCAATATCAATAAAGCTTGGGAGCTAAGTATTATTTGGTACAGCCCACAAAGCCCTTCAAATCGGACAGAAAGGAGTTGCTCTCTCACCAGTGGATCAGATTCCATGGAGCTGGGTGGAGTCTCCTTGTGAGGCCTCTCCTCGCAGGGCTGCCCGGGGCTGCTGGAGCCGATGCTGGGGGGGGGCAAGTGGAACAGCTTGGCCTGGTCCTGCTGGGCAGACGGCCAAGGCAGCGTGCCCCTCACCCACTCCACCGGGTCCTCCCATACCGCCTTCTGCCCGTGGACCTGCAGCGTCACAACATACCATGACGGTATAATTAGAGCGCAACATTTCCTATGAAAGGGGAGCCATCAGCAATTCGTAGAGAAGAATCTGATGCGTGCCCAAGACCGTTTTCTGGATCTGTGGTTGCTCACCTTGATGCCGTCCTTCGCCCCCTCTTGCAGGTAAGGAATAATAGAGTGGTTCCAAAGGTCAATGAACCACGATCGAAACTCATCAACCGTGACAGGACACGACAGGAAGAAGCAGGGGCCTGAGGAGACACGGGAAGAGCAAGAAGAACACTATTAGACTAACTATTCTACATAATTTATACAAAAACACTTCCCTCCAAAATTGAAATGCAGCTCCTTTCAGCCCTGCCCTGTCCTGATAAGAGTGAATGTCATACCGATAAGGAAGTCGGACGTGCTGTGCTTCTCCAGGAAGGCGTGCAGGTGATACCACAGTTTGGGCACCCAGTCCAACACCCTGATCAGGTCCTCGTTGGTCAAGTTCTTCTCATCCTCCGACTCCATCAGCTTCCTGTGCAGATAGCGCACCAGGAAGCCATTGGCCGGTTCCACGTTATTGGAGAAGGTCACCATCCTAAGATGCAAAACAAGTCACGGAAAAGTCAAAATACAGACCAACAACTCTGTCCATCCATAGTCTACTTCTTTAGCCACATATGAGATCATCTATGCAGTATCCCACTTATCAACATAGATCCTTCAGTTTACAGTAAAGGGCCAACCTGTAGGGATTGTCTTGTTACAATATTTTGATGAGTTCACCTGATTTAATGTTTACTTAAGATAAGTAACATTTAATGTAATGCAATGTAACCAGCAACATCAGAATCAATTATTCATAAACAGTTTGGTGGTTTAATTTCACGTGGCTTTCTCCTCTTGCTTCATCAATGCAGCATTATGAATCAACCAAATGTATAAAACTGTTTTTATATTGCAATATCTTATAATCAGTTAGATTGAACACAATGCTGTTACTTTGAAAGTTTCACAGACAAATCCTATAACTGTATTTATATATACAGATTCAGGATCTGTTTCTGTTTGTTAAGGTAGAAGAGGCTTTTATTTATTTTAATATATTTTCAGTAGTAGGTTAAAAAGACGCTTTGATTTTCAAATTAAAGTCTTAGTCTAGACTTATTTTACTAGTCTCTAGTAAAATAAGTATTCATGGTGTCATAGTCTCAACCATAAGACAGTAGACACTGAGCAAGATACAACTGTACCAGATCACATATAAACACATGTAATCAGAAATTAGGACGTCATTTTTATTGTATTGACATGTTGACTCCAGGGTGAGCTTCAGATCTAACTTCAGTGTAATCAGGATCAATTCAGAAATTAAAACAAAGACAAAACAGAAACTAAATCTTCAACCGTTCCTTCAACCAACCTGAAGCTGAGATGGAGGCCATTGTTCGGTATCATCTTCACCGGCTGGTTGCTTGTTCCAATAATGTAAGGACTAAAAAACAGGAAGAATGTTACAATAAGTGATCACATAAATAATCTTGTGGCTACTTTCAGTCTGAGTAAGTGGAGCGCACCATTTGTGATATTTGCAGGTGAGAGCCCCGTTTACAAGTTCGCTGAGTGAACCAGGTGCATGAATATCATCCAGAATAACGACCAGCGGTATTTCTGACACGCTGCTTTCCCGATCGATTTGATTGGCCAGGTTGGAAAGATAAAGCTGCAGATCCTGAGGAGAAAGAGAAAGAAGAAAGGAAGCTTTTGACATGGCACGCCAAATAACACAGAGTTGAACAGATTGGTATGGGCCGTCACTCTCTGTCACCTTGCAGGACTGGCGGTGCATGTTGAAGGTCATCACAATGCCGTCGGTGACCTCGCGGGCGCTGCGGTCCACCAGGTACTCAGCCAGCCGGGAGGCCAGGTAGCTCTTACCCGTCCCGCTCGGCCCAGAGAGGATGAGGCGGCGGTGTTTGAGCAGCAGACTGATGTAGTGTTGCATCATGGGTTTGGGAATGAGGGTTTCGAAAACAAGGCTGTCCACACACTTCTCCTTCAAACCTGAACAATGTGAGGAAAAGTGTTAATTAACTATGTGATCAATATCTGCCAATTACCCATTAGAAATGAGAAATGTCGGTAACCTGTAGTTTGATACAAACAGGCTGACATTGTATTAGCTTTAGCTGACTCTTTCATCCAAAGCAACTTACATAACTGTAATAAACCATTCAAATACAAACAGCAAGAATTTTGCAAGTGCATCTGCTTTAAATAAGCCAAACCATGCCAAGTGCTGCTGCATTAGTCTCAATTGACCTAAATACTTGAATTACCACGCCTTTTCTGTCTGGTTATTGGTAATAATGCAGTCAAAACTGGTGTTTTTTTTGTTTGTGATTGAAGATGAGCAGACTTGTTGCTGTCCTGATATCAATGGAGATCTTTCTGTTGAAGGGAGCCCATTGGCCAAAGAAGAGTAAAGTTAATGTGCTGGAGAGAATGGTTTTATCCTGTCCTGAATGAAAGCACTTTGGGCCGTGTGAAGGGAGCGGAGGAGCGGCGAAGTGTGGGAGAACTTAGATAGGTTGAAGAGTCTTCTACAAGCTTGGGAAAGAATATGTTAAAAAGATTCATTTCACCTTGCATGTCCTTCATAAGGAACATTAAGCCTAAGTATTTGGCTCTGAAAATAACTTTGCATCAAGTGTAGGGAGTCTCCCCCCTCCCACCAGCCCGCAGCAGTCTTATTCTCCGCCTCCACATCTCTGGGGCCCATGTGTCTGAGACTGGCTGACCAGCTGGGCCTGGCTGCACTGGGATCAGGTTTCTCTCAGCCCTGTCTGGGCCGCTGTAGCACTTTGCTCTTTACATTCCCGCACCCAGAAGGTGCGGAAGGGTTGAAGATCAAACCCGAACCTCCTTGATCACAGCATGGGTTTAGAATAACTGATTGGCTTCACATATGTGCAAATCCAAAAGCAAAACACGGCTGTTATAGGATTATAAAGTATATAACCATCACAATGTTTATTTAACAATTAAACGGGGCTGTGCAACGCAAGCGAGAAAATGGTGGAGCCTTGTTGCGACTAGGGGTGCAGGATAATGATTTAGAGTTGTGAAGGTTGTAGATTTTTTAGTTTTCAATCTGCCTTAAGAGCAAACATGCTCAAAGTCAGCTCTGGATTCAACTTCTGACAATGAGTGGTCAACTGTTTGTGTCAGCTGAAGAAAAAGAAGGGCTTACAGTGTCAGGACGCCTGGTCTCTATGATGGAATTTGTGGAAAGCATTATGTCTGATTACATTTCATTATCAAGGAAACAACTTATTGATTACGCTGACTTTACTTATTGTCGAACATTGAGGCTGGTGAGCAAACACTTTTTGAAAATTAATGTCAGAAGATACACTATGATTTTAAAATCGGTGTCTGTGGGTTAAATGTATTACAGCAGGTCCTTACATTAGTTTAAACATATAGTTATGGCTGAAAATGACACAGTATAAAACTGGGAAGCACAATGAGTTCCTCCGATGCCATGGGGTCGTGTGGGTTTATGTTTTGGTCGATGATGAGGACAGTTCAGAGTTCCAGGTAACTGAATGCACGTGGGATGTAAATGAGAGTTGTTTATTTAAAGTAAGCATAATTGGATCAGGATCAAATGGCAATAAAGAGAGACAGGTTTAAATTTAGTGTAATAAACAGACAGGCATGAGGATCTGCACTTTGTCGAGACTAGGATTTGACTGTTGAGATCAACAGATTAACACTTCACAGCATAGCTAATGCTAAGAAACCTGATTATGTATTCCTCAACGTATCGTATTGCTGTAGACAGAAGCTTTTAATCCAAAATGTAGTGGTTTCTGAATCGAAGAGATTGCTTTGAAAATAGAAGCTGGACTGACTCCAAAATGCTCTACTGCTGAAAAACAACATTTGAGTACTTGAGAAATGGAAGTTTATCTCATCAGTCCAAATTCTGATTGAATAGTGGTTAAAAAGTCTAAAACTTTGTTAGGATTGATCAGAATAATGTCTTTGAGCCTTTACTGTTGGTTAAACTTGTTAATGTTTTGCTGAAATCAACTTTGTGTTAGGAGATGTTATTTTATAGGTTATTTTCTTGCAAATCTGAGAAAGTAAATCTCAAATGATATTGTAATTGACATGTGTACAGACCTTTCAGGGCCACTGTGATGCTGCTGGGGCCTCGGGACATGCAGCGAGAGGGCTGCGTTTCTGGAACTTCTCCTCCCAGCACTCTCTTAATGTGGCCCATGCTGTAACTGTAGATTGAGTCTGTAGAGAGGCCCACACTAGAATTGGGGTCCACCTTGGCAATGTACACCTAGAAGTAAAACAAAGCAGAAGATGTGAACTGATTTAATTCATCTTAATAGAATTCATTGTGTGCAGACAGACAGCGCTGCATGTGTTTCAGAGCTGACACACTTCTGTTACTTCTCGATGGTGAAGTTTTTGCCTCTTCATAAATCAAGAAGTACAACGTGTTTCTATTTGCTATTTCTGCAACATAGTTTCCCAACGGTTAGTGTCTGTAGTAAACACATTCCAAATGTAATGTGACAGCTGAGTTTTGCTGGATGCAAACTGTACATTCAGTCCCTGCTCACATTTGTCTTCAGAGGAAGGGTCTCACCTTGAAGGCCTGGCTGACAGCCGAGTCCAGCATGGGCCAGTCCATCCGGCCGTTCACCCGGACCGTCCCGACGAAGAAATCCTGCTGCTTAACCTCCTGCTTTTACGTGCAATATTATGAATAATTATCAACTCTTCTGCAATATTCAAGTTTACACAAATGATTTATCCAACACAATATTCTGAAATGGGTCACTCTGAATAATGAGAAGATTTAGTTTTCATAATTAAAGTATATTCAGAAGCTAATACTTTGGTACTTGCGGGAATTGATTGTATTAGAGTATTTTCTAAAATGTGGTATAGCTACTTGGATTCTGAGTATCCTACATCATGAAAAGCAGTGAAGTACATTTATTTAAGTATTTACACTTTCTACTACTTTCTACTTATTGACAAATATTGTAGTTTTTACTTCACTATAGAAGTTTCACAGCTTTAGTTGCCAGTTACTTTGCAAATAAAAATGATGACCAAGTAGCATTTCTACAAAAACTATTTAAGTATGCATTTATGTATTTGAATTGAGCTATAAGTCTTTACCAGCTGCAACATGTATGCTTCAAATATGAATACAGTAATACAGGATTCTGAACTGGGCCATTAATGAGAACTTTTACTTTACATACTTGTAGTTTTACCAAAGTAAGAGTTTTAGTGCATGAAGTATTGCTTCAGTGTAGCAATGTCACTTTTATCTAAATTAAGTTCTGAGTACTTCTTACGCCGCCGATGGGAAGTATCTTAGGGAGTTCTGAAGTGCAATATAGTTCAGATGTTTACTTTGTACTTTTATTATGGAAAAAGTAAGATGACACACAACAAACTTACATCTTTGAAGACGCGTAAATCTGCAACACATATCACCACCCTAACACGGTGATCATCCCTCTGTGAGGAGAGACTGAGGGTATCTGCAGAGTAAAGGTCTGCAGAGGGCAGAAACAGAAGAAGAAAGAAAGTTTACATAGCATGAACTCACATTAATGCATGACCCATCAAGATGTAAGCACAACGTTTGTTTGAGTAAATAAGTACTGAGCCAAATGAAGTGTCCTGATAAAAAAAGGTCGCAAAGAGTGTGGCCTTAAACACATTGCTAACAGGAGAAAACATATTTGAAAGCGAGGGGTGAAGATTTTAAATGGTCATCTGACATTCAAAATAAGAGAAGGGGAGCTTATCTTCTAGACATAATATCAATTGGCAATGCATTTGTATACCCTGAACTGAACCAAAGCCTAGATAATAAATAGGTTTTGTCAATTGTAGGAGGTGCACATATAAAATACATAAATGAGATGATTGACGGGCCAGGGAGTCAAAATAAGAAGGTCAACATAACCCACATTTGCGCATTAATTATAACACAATCCTTAATTAAAAGTGGCCTTAGAACGACAGTCCAACCCTTTCATTCATACGTATTAGCCGTTCACACTGTAGAATCAGCAGATTATTCACATGCCTACTTGTTTACAAAACTGGTGACACCATTCTGACATTGTCAACATGCTGTACCTGAGCTGCCCCCCTCACTCAGCCCTCTGCTGTAGCTTTTGGGCATGTGCATGGCTACGGACTGCCGAGGTGATGAACTTCCCAGAGCAGTGAGACCTGAGGACTGGGAGACGGAGCTGGAGGGGCCCGGAGACGGACAGGGGGACAGACTGCCTGTCTTCAGATGGTCGTTCTCGGCCTTCAGGTTCTCCACTGTCGACTACAGACACAATTACAAGAGTTACAGTCATTAAAATAAAAGGAAATTGAATATTTCTTCGGGCCATCAGAGCCTTTATAGAAGTGACAAGGGTTGAAAGGGGGAGACAGATGGGGTTGACACGCGGCACATGGTCACAGGCTGGATTAAAATCCATGTCCTCTGCACAGGGAAAGAGCCCAGGTATATGAACCACCCATCATTACAGTCATTTAAAAAAAAGTTCCAATTGACATCAAACAACTGTAGAGGAGATTTTTTTGATTGCATGCTTAAAAGATCTTTAATAATAACCAATACAACACCAATTCATTAAAATATTAAATAATGCAGTTAGACTTGACAGTTAACAAAATATAACACGTTATATATGAGATCCTTTCCAGATAGTTGCAAAGAAATTCAAAGTTTGACATCCTAATCACCTCTGAAACTCAACAAAACAAATGTTATAGTGAGGACATTTTCCATGAAATATCAAAAGCAACATATGACACACGTACCTGCATGCTGCTCATGGCGTCCTGCAGCTGCTCCAGCTGATGGGCCGAGCTCAGAGCCTCCAGCCGGATGTCTGTCAGTTTGCGCTCCTTTTCCCACAGCTCTGTGCGCAGTCCTGTTACAACCTTTTCATCGCCCTCATCGCACTCTTCGCCCTCCTCGCCTTCCTCGCCTTCCTCACAGAGTCTGGAGATATTCAGATCAAATATGACAACATTAGAGACATGTGAAGGTGGCAAGGATCATTACACTGACAGCTTGGAATAACATTTATTATATTGAAATGCTATAATACAATTAGAATTTGTTTCTGTTGCGATGTACTTTGTAGTTTAAAGACAGAGGTTTACCCTGACGATGATGCAGAGGCTGAGGATTTCATGGACAATGAGGTTTTGTCTCCACCATAGTGCACTTTGGGGGAGGAAGGTGCAGAGGATTCTGGGGTGGAAATTTCCTCAATGTCAGCGTATGGCCCTGACTGCTTGGAGCCCTTCTTACTAAAGGCTTTGTTGAAGGAGCTGCGCAACTGTACAGAGAGAGAAATGAGACTGAAATCAAGGATACGTCTAAAGAAATCGCAGCAGAGTATTAAACAATTAAAAAGCAATTGTTAAAAGAACTTGTGAGGTATCATCCACACATTTCCTTTTGAACCTTTAGCAAGCACTATGTTTTTCATGTTCTCATTGATCAGGCTCATGAGGAAGAGTGTCCACAAATTGTAAGATACACGGTTTGATTCCCTTCTCCTTCAGTCAGAATGACAAAGTTTCCTTGGGAAGATACTGGAAACCTAGCTGCCCTTGAATTGCTTTATGAGTGTGAGTGAATGAACACTAGTTTACTTTAGATGATGAGCAGTGTGGCACATTGCATGGATGCCCTGTCAAAATGTATGAATAGGCAAGTGTTTGGATGCACTGTTAGGTGCTTTTAGAGGTGAGAAATGTTCTATATAGTTGCAGGTTCATTTACCGTTTAAAGCTATACAGAACCATTTAATGTAATTTGTTCAGTCCGTAAAACCATAACTACAATGTAATACGGTCAAAACATGGTACAATATATTTCTATGTATCAGGTGTATAAAAACACAGATGACAGAGAGTTTCCAAAGGTTTTACAAGTATGACTCATGAAGGGCATGCAGGCTGGAAACGGGGAGAAGGTGTTTAGGGTTTATTTACTGTAGCAACATCACTCACCTCAAAGACCTAAAATAAAAAGCAGGCAGGGCAGCATGAGGGAGAGACCAGAGTCATACTTAATAACAGATTTGGAACTAGATAGGACGAGAATGACATACAAACACAAATGCAGGAACACGCTCACACGGAGTAAACAAATAAGACCAGCGGATGACTCACTTGATATATTTTCAAAACAAATATAACATGATAAAAAAAAGGATGATAGCACCACAGTTCACATACTGTACTGTGTTCAAATGAATTTGACCCAGACAAGCTGAACTTTTCAATACTAAAAAATGTTTAATAACTATAATTTATTCCTCTGATGATCTGAATAAAAATGTGATTTATGCCTGCCAGTAGCTTTGCCGATATCTGTGTAGATAGGTAATAGATTAAGAGCGGTGAATCAGCTTAGAATCAGGAAGCACTCAAACGTTTGTGTGAATTTATCAAATTTAGCAGGGATTCCATGTCAGCCACAGCTTGTTACAAAAAACCTGACAGATAGTGTATTTAACGAACTTAAACTAGCTTTATTAAATGTCAGGTCTTTGGCAGGAAAAACGTTTTTAATCAATGATATTTTCACTGAGTACAATCTCGATTTTATGTTTTTAACGGAAACTTGGATTGAACAAAATAACATTGCAGCTGTTCTTATTGAATCAACCCCTCCCAACTTTAGTTTTATGAGTCAGGAAAGAATGCATACGAAAGGAGGTGGAGTTGCTATTTTGTTCAATGATTCCCTTCAATGCAGGAAGACATCTTATGGGAACTTTGCTTCTTTTGAATATGTGGCCCTTCAGCTGAAATGCTCCTCTCGAGCTCTGTTCCTAAATATCTATAGACCACCCAAATACTGTGCAAGCTTTTTTGATGACTTTACTGAACTGCTGTCTATAGTGTGTATTGACTTTGACCGTCTAGTCATTGTTGGTGATTTTAACATCCATGTTGACAACCCCCAGGACAGAGGGGCTAAAGCACTGTTTTGGGTTCTTGATAACTATGGACTGACTCAGCATGTGACGGAGCCCACGCACAATAAGGGGCACACTCTGGACTTAATTATCTCAAAGGGTCTGAATATCTCCAAGGTTGTGGTGACTGATGTTGCACTCTCTGATCATTCCTGTGTTTTCTTTGAGAGCTCTATTTCTGTTCACAAAAATGTTCAAAAAGAGGTAACCACAAAGCGATATTTAACTGAAAATACTAGGGAAATGTTTACTCAGAATTTTTCTTCCACACTTGCCCCTGCTAACATCTCAGTAAATGAGCTAGTAGATCATTTTAATTCAAAAATTCAAAATGTTATAGATGCCATTGCTCCAACTAAGGTAAAGGAAGTGACTGGGAAGAAAATATCTCCATGGAGAAAGGCCATGACCGTGAAAACAGAAAAAAGTGTCGAAAAGCTGAACGCAGGTGGCGAAAAACAAATCTCCAGGTTCATTTTGAAATCTATAAAGAGAGACTTGGCTTTTATAATTTGGAATTGAAAATTGCACAACAGTCTTTCTTCTCTGACATCATTACCAAAACAAAACAACGCATGTTGTTTGCTACCGTTGACAGACTAACAAACCCCCCAGTGTCAGTAGCCTCTGAATTTCTATCCATCCTGCAATGAATTTTCCTCCTTCTTCACTGACAACATTTAGAAAATCAGACAAGCAGTCAGTGCCTCTTTATCAGATACAGCAAATGTTTTGTCCCTGTGTCCACCTAAAATCAATTTAAACACCATGACACAGTTCCATCAGATTAATGATAAAAACCTAGAGGACATTATTCAACTTCTGAAATCCTCCTCCTGCTGCCTTGATATTATTCCAACAGGATTTTTCAAAGATGTTTTTCCTTGCATGGCCTCAGATCTACTTCATATAGTAAACAAGTCTCTTCACTCAGGGGTTTTTCCACAGGCCCCAAAAACTGCAATCATTAAACCGCTCTTAAAAAAGAATAATCTAGATGCTTCAGTAATGAACAATTACAGGCCTATATCAAACCTCCCATTTCTAGGTAAAATCATTGAAAAAGTAGTTTTTCAACTGCTGAGTAATTTCTTGCATTTAAATAACTGTTTCGTAGTGTTCCAGTCAGGCTTTCGTCCAAACCACAGCACTGAGACTGCTCTTGTAAAGTTCTTCAATGACATCCACTTAAACACAGACAGTGGCAGAACTTCAGTGTTAGTATTATTAGATCTCAGTGCTGCGTTTGACACTGTTGACCACAACATATTACTAGACCGAC